TGAGTAGCATTTCTCTGGTGGTCCTGAGAAATACCATAAGTTTGCCTTTAATATCTTTATGTATCGGGTGGGGGTGGTTTTAAATTGAAAGAGATTTAGAGTAGATGTTAGGAATAAATTCTGCCCTGTGAGGGTGGTGAGGCCCTTGGCACAGGTTGCCCAGAGAAGCTGTGGCTGCCCCATCCCTGGAAGTGTCCAAGGCCAGGTTGGACAGGACTTGGAGTGACCTGGGAGAGTGGAAGGTGCCCTGCCCATGGCAGGGGGTGGGACTGTGTCCCTTCCAACCAAACCCATTCTGTGATCATATGATTATGGATGGAATAGCTGTCTCGTGCCTGCCACCTCAGAGAAGAGTGTGTGGGCTGGTTCAGACTCTGCTGTTACACAGCAAGGACTGTGAAAGGTATTTTTGTTTGGGCTGGACTTCTGTGTTCCAGACATTACAGCATTGCCTTGCATGATCTCTAAAGCAGCAGTGCATCATAAAGTCAGGACTGTTTCTCTTGGCCATATCTTGTTCTGCAAAAGTTATAAATAAACATCTTGAGGAAATGTGAATGTCAGTTCAGGAAGTTTCCATTTAAAATATTTATCTGTGCTGTTATTTTCTTTTAAACTATAATAGCTTTGTGAAGGAGCAGGCTGCACAGTGGCTTGGATGTATTTTGGCGATATGTCCCTAAATCGTTGAGGTGAATGACTCATTGGTGCTGTGTAAGGGGCATATTTGCCCCGCCAGTTCAGGAGGTGACACAGGGTATCGAGTTGTACTGCACTCTCTGCCTGTCCTAAGCCTTTAGATCTGTAGATAATCTGATCCAGCTCAATACTGTCCTTTGTTCAAGCCTAGAAAGCACTTTTCAAAGCCTGATGCTTACATGAAAAATGTTTTTTTCCCCCTTGGCAGCGAAAAATGAAGCTGACCGTCAAGCTGAGAAGCGGGAGATCAAGCGCCGGCTCACCAGAAAGGTACTGCTGCTCCTGTGGTGACAGCCACCTGGCCGGGCTGCCGGGCACGGGGGCCCTGAGCACGCTGCAGGTGCCGTGCTGTGGGCCAAGAGCGGGGCTCTTGTGCAAGTGTCCCCAGTGCCCTCGCACTGCGGTGACCTTGGAATGCGGACTGTCACCCGCGGTGAGCCATTGGCACCAGGGCCGTGTTTTTGTCAGTGACGGATCTGAGCTGGCAGTGAGCGTAACAAGTGAGATGAGAACTAAATTTGGCACCTGATACTTTAAAGGTTTGCTGGCCTGGCTGCTTTAACACAGTGCTTCAGCAGCCACCACTTCACACCAGGCTCCCTGAAATCCATTTCTAAAGTAACAGCTGCTTTTAGGTGTTACATCCAAGTTACTTGTGATTGTTGCTCATGGCTGGGAAAAGCTTCCCCAAGGCCTGTGGGTGTGAAGTGTGAGTGCTGCCGTTGCTGAAGCTGCGTTTAGGGCTGTCATGCAGGGCTCACCCTTGTAGCGGCTGTTCCCACAACCCTCAGTGTCCTCCTCCATGACAGTGCGGCCCAGGTTCTGCCCTAGCCTGGCTTTGTGATCCCAGTGCGCGTGTCCAGTCTGTTAGAGGTTTACCTATTCCCTTGCAGGCAGGATCTGGTAGTGTCTGTGCTTAAGGCACAGTGAGGGAACTAGCTTTAGTTTTGCTTGGGGTGCTTAGTCCTGGATCTGCTGTGTGGACAAGGCTCAGACTAACCTCCTTTGTTTTTCCTGGTGTTCAGCTTAGCCAAAGGCCTACAGTAGCAGAGCTGCAGGCCAGGAAGATCCTGAGGTTTAATGAATATGTGGAAGTAACAGATGCTCAAGACTATGACCGGCGAGCAGATAAGCCATGGACAAAGCTGACTCCAGCTGACAAGGTAACTGAGAGTCTCCTGTCCCCACGTGGGAAGAGGAGCCAGCCAGGGTGGCCCACACAAACGGGTGTGAGCCAAGATGATCTGCTCTGTTCCTCTGGCTTCACCTCTTCACCTTTCCCTCTGTGCCTTCACTTGCATGTGCTGCCCCATCTCTGCTTCCTGCTGCCTCATGGCAAGGTGGAGCCCAGGTGGGCGCAGTCTGAAAGCCTTGCAAGGCTTCTGCCTCAGTTTCTGAGTGATGTAAGAATGATAAAATCATGGAATCGTTAAGGTTGGAAGAGCCCTTGAAGATTGAGTCCAACTGTTTACTCAGCACCACCATCATGTTCACCAGTAAACCATGTCCCCAGGTGCCCCGTCTGCACATTTTTGAACAGTTCCTGGGATGGTGATTCCACTACAGCCCTTTCTACAAAGAAATTTTTCCTTGTATCTCATCTAAACTTCCTGTGCCTCAGCCTGAGGCAGTTTCCCCTTGTTCTGTCACTTGTTACCTGGAGAAGTGACCAACCCCCAGCTCTCTTGACCCCCTGTCAGGGAGTTGTAGAGAGTGAGAAGATCCCCCTGAGCCGCCCTTTCTCCAGGCTCAGCTCCCCCACCCCGCCCAGCTGCTCCTGGTGCTCCGGACCCTTCCCCAGCCCCATTCTCTTTTCTCGACACAGCAAGAATACCGAGTATTGGTCATGGCAGTGCAGTTCCCTGCAGGCTCAAGAAACTGGCAGGGAACTACCTGTCCTTGTCCTCCCAGGCCACCTCTGGGCACTGCCCAGTCCCCATCGGAGAGGGCAGATTAAATTCAGCTTGGCATTAATGGACTGTGAAAACTGGGGTGGCTGCTCCAATCTTTCTCTGAGCCCTTTCCAAAAAATCTCCCTCTCTGTGCAGGCAGCCATCAGGAAGGAGCTGAATGAGTTTAAGAGCTGTGAAATGGAAGTGCACGAGGAGAGCAAGCAGTTCACGAGGTGAGAATGTGTTAACATAAGAGTTTTCCACCTTTTTAGAGCTGTCAGAGCTGTGCTGCAAGGACAGTACTCAGTGGCAAAACGCTAAAACCTTAGAAGAATTATTTGTGCAGCAGTTGGAGATTGAATGTCCTTTTCTGTCTGAGTCCTGGGGGGTGACTGGAGCAGCAACAGACACAAAGTGGGTTGGTTTTCCTTAAACTGGGGCTTCCATCCTGGAGGCTCAGTGACCATCTGAAACTAGTGTGAAGCTGCAGCTGGAGTGAGCTTTTCTGGGGCTAGAGATATGCAGCCATAGCCACAAAACAACTTGCTAATGAGTGACCTTGGATGTAATCTGTGTAGTCAGGTCTGGATCGTGGCCCAAGTGATTCCTTTCCTTCCAGCTCTGTGTGGCAAAGTGGAGTGCAGAGCACAGGAAGTGAAATTATTTGATGCTCACGGCTTCCCTGAGGGCTGAGGGTTCCGAGATAATAATTCAATTTACTCTCTTTGGCCATCTGTAGTGCCCAAGTAACCATTTAGCCTGAGTTCCAAGGATAACACTCAGATTTTTCACTTGGCTTTCAGATACCATCGACCATAATATTCCAAGGAGGGAGCAAGAAACCCACGAGGGCTGGAAGTTTTCTGCATCCCTCTCCCAGGCAATACGGTGAGGGTGGAACCTCAGCTCTTCCAAGATTTGCCTTCCAAACATATCCAGAAAAGGGCTTTCGGCCAGGGAAGGGGAATCCTGTCTGAATGTAGCATTTCACTGGAACAAACACATCTCTCATGCCATCAGGCTGGAAGTGACACTATACCTCGTGTGGCTCAGCAATACGACTCTGCCAGGAGACCGTGCCCAGGGGAGCGACCCCTTCCTCCCCAAGCTGCACAGACTTGTCTTGGGGAGTGCAATTCCTCATTTCCTTCTCCTTTCCTTCAGGAAGGGAGATTAAAAACAAAGGCAGCTCTGATGTTGGGAAGCTGAGGAGAGCATGTGCTCAGAAGCAAATGTGTGTATATTAGCTGTGTACAGAGAACCCTGGCAGACAACTGACGTGGCACTCGCTATGTTTTGGGGGTTTTGCTTTTTTGTCATGTCCTTAATGTCCTGAATCACTACTGACCAACGGTTTGTTGTCCTGGAAGGGAATTGTGTAGATATTAACATATGCTGCGTCTTTTTGTTAAAAAAAAAAAAAAAAGGAAAAAAACCCCACCCCAACATATGTATAAATGCTCTGCACTCTCTCACACTTGCTGTGATCTTAATAACAGATCTTGAGATCTTTAGGCTTGTTTAACAAATTACAGAACCAGGAAAAATGACTGTTGCCTTTTTAAAACTTCTTAATTTGGGGAAACTGTGAGAGTAGTCAGTCGTTTTTATTGTGGCTTTCTCTCAAATGTTTTTTACTCTCCCAAATCAGGGTTGAAGCTTGCCTTTTTCTCATTTTTACAGCTAAACCTACTGGAAACTTGATCGTTTCACTGTGTGGGTCAAAAGGAGGGGAAGAATAGGTTTAAAAAGTGACCTTAAAAAGATGGTATTTCTCTTCTGAGAGAAAAATTCTTCCTTGATGCGGGTTTAAAAAAAAATCTGGTAGGGCCACTGCTGTATTATGCACAAAACTAAACTATCTGTGAGATGCCACTTGTGCGGGGGTTTGGGGTGGGGAGGGGGAGAAGAACTTTGTCTTGTTCACAGACCACACGGCCCAGCATCTGCTGGGGTCTCTTCCCTCACAGCATCCCCTGTACAGCCGCCATTACATTGTATATCAGTCTCCGCAACAACAGATTGTAATTATTAAATAAAAGTATTTTAGAATTTTTTTTCTTAAACCCTGCTTGTGTGGTCGTGTCTTTTCCCCTGCTCTCAGCAGGAGCCTGACCGGCGGCTCCTGAGCGGGTCAGCCATGGCGGCGCCTTCCCTGAAGCCGCGGCTTTTCGCGCCCTTCCGACTGCGCATGTGTCAACCGCCCTTCTAGCCATTGCGCAGGCGCGGCAGGCCCCGCCCCTTCCGCTGGGTGTTGGCCCCGGTCCCCATGCCCATATACGGTCTGTCCCCGCCCCTCGCGCGGGACGCATGCGCGCATTTCAGCCCCGCCTCCCTGCACTATAAAAATCGCCGCGCGGTTTCACTCGGCCTCTTTCACCGTGAGGAGTAGCGCCGTGTACAGGTAGAGTTCGCTTCACTTTTACCCTTTTACCAGTTTTAACCCTTTAAACCCTTTTTCTTGCTGTGGCGCGTGGTCGTGCTGGCCGCGCTGCGGTGTCAGCGGATGCCCGCTCTATCCCCGTTTTACCGCTAAACTACGCTGTGAGTTGCACGTGGCGGTGTGTGCTGCGGAGTCACCCCGCACCGCCTCAACCGCCGCTCAGAGCTATTTCCTTTTCCTACAGGTTCCACCAAAGCCTGTTTAAGCTTGGTTTGCGCAGTTCGCTCTAACGTGAGTATCTTTCACGTGGCCCCGCCGCGTGGTCGGCGGAGCTGGAATGCGCGGGGGCCTGGGGCAGGCAAGGTGGTTATAAGTGTTTAGAGCAAAGGTCCAACGTGGATATCCGGAGAAGTCGCTCTCTCTCGGCTCTGTCCGTGTGGCGCGTGGGAGCGCAGGCCCTCGGGCCCGTGACGTATAGTCCCTTTCCACGACGTTGGAGAGCAAGCCGGGCCCCGAGCCTGCAGCCTGCATATTCCTACTGCTTCTCTGAGCCCTTGGGCCGTGACAGAGGAGACAAACCATGCAGGAAACACTGACACGCCGGGTGGGACGGGGAACACGTGCCGAGCTGGGAGGGGGAGACATTAAAACACAACCTCCTGAGCAAATCCTTAAATTATCTTTTTTTTTCTTCATTTCCAGAACCGAAATTGAAAAAGGTGGAGTGAAACACGATTTTTAAAGGTAACTGCATTAAAAATGTAATATTCTGCGTATTTCAAAGATGTTTCTAGAATAATGGGTCGGTTTAGTGATAAAATTTCATTCCGGACGACACGGGTGGTAGTAACGTAAGTCCTGTTTGGAGGCTCCTAGCTTTGACGATTGTGTTGGATTTTGGATAGACGGGGAAAAAAAATTCCTGAGTCTTAAAGGAAAAAAAAAAAAAGGCCATGAGTCTTAGCAGACAGAAAATAACACTGCAGATAAATTTGCGTGCTGAACTTAAAGCTCTACTGGTGTATTGTTGGACACAAAAAAAAAAGCAGGAAAAAATACCTTTTTTTTAATATTGCAGAATCTGCTGGGGCGAAGTGACAAAGAAAATCTGCTTTTAGTGGGAAAGGGTGAGTATTTTACAGAGTTTGCCCAAGTTGGGTGGTTACCCAGTTCCTCTTAGCGCACTATGTGTAATAACAATGTAGCCGCAGAAATCAAAACGCGATGGAAGCAGGAGTGCGTGAATTTAGTGGTCTTTTAAAGCACGTGCTTTGAGTGCATAAAATAACCGGTGGCCCTGGTCCCTTGGATGTCCAAATGTGTACCTATTTACAGTAGACAACTCAATAAACTGAACTTGACTATGGCTTGTTGTGTGGTTTTGCTAAATTACCTGAATATTAAGAGAAACTTTGTGCTGTGGGTGGTGCCTCTCCTGTGTAGAAGTATGATTCTTGTTTGCTGCTGAAGCGTCTCGAAAAAGTGTGTAGAAGTGCTGTGTGGCACTGTTTGGGCTGGACTAAAACAGATCCTACTTTCAGTCCGGGTTTGGGCACAAAACCTTCATATCATGGGCAAAGTCCAGGAGGGTTGATGGGGTCTGTTACCCCGGGGCGGGGGGAAGCAGGGAGGGGATCACAGGGCTTTCCCTTGCCCTGTCAAAGGGGAGTGCTGCTGATGGGGGGGCAGGTTAGGGGAGGTGCGGCTGTGGGTTCGCTGAAATAGGCATCAGCAGTTCCCCAGATGGTGGCCCGGGAAAACATCAGGGTGTGGCTGTCTACCAAGTCTCAGCATAAGCCTGGGGTAAATAAAGGTGATGCTTCTCCAAGGTTCTCCAATCTCATGTAGGTGGGCTGTGGGTGAGCCCTGGGTCTGTAGATAAGCAGATAAAGGCCGCTGTACCAGCCAAGATGTTAATTAGGAACATGATTTTATTAGTAAATAAAAGGTAATATGGCCGAGTGCAGGCCTTCGGACTGGAACAGCTGAATTAATCACTGGAATAAGGGTAATCACATTGGATGAAGGGGAAACTCTAAAGTTTGCTGTCCTCCGATTAACTGGAGAAGTTTGGTCTAGTTCCTGTTTCAAGAGTAAAAGGGTTTTCCACTTTGCAGCAGTAGGTTGCTGGAGAAGGTGGTGGTGCAGACTTGCTGGATTTCCATACTCCATTATCGTTGTTCAGCGTGTTTAATTACCATTTTTTGCAGCAGCTCTGTTTGGTTGGCTGCGGCCTAGGAGGCATCTCTGGAGGTTAGAAGCAGGATGAGTTAGCGACACGGATTTATTGTCTGGGGGGCAGTGTATTGCCAGCCGCCTTGTGCTGCCTGCCCTTGTGTGTCTTTCTGTCCGCCTGTCCTGCCCCACCTGTCCTCGTTCCGTCCTTCAGTCCGCCTGTCCTCCTGTCCCCTTGGCCTGTGGGGACAGTGCCGGGGCCGCCGACCGCCAGGGGGCGCAGCGCCGCGAGGAGCCGGCGCGCGCATGCGCAGAGCGGAGCGCGGCGGCGCCGGCGAGCGGTGAGGAGCGCGGCGGGGTCGAGCCGGGAGAGCGGCGGGAGGCAGCGGCGGGGCGGGCATGGGGACACGGGGGCGATCGCGGGGGTCCCGGCGGGCCCGGGGCCGTCCTCGGCGCAGCCCACCGGACAGCGAGAGAAGCTGCAGGCGGCGGGAGGAGCCGCCGGTCCGGGCCGTGGCCTCCGCGGCCCCACGTGGGGCGGCGCCGCGGGGAATTCGAATGGCGGGAAGGGGCGGGGGCCGTGCTCTGTCCATGCGGAACCGGGCAGGGGGTGAGGACGCAGGTACGGCTTGGCTCCGATTCTTCTCTTTTCCCCTTTCCCGTTTTCATTCTCCTTTCTTTTCCCCTTCTCTCTCTCCTCGCCTACCTGAACCTAAAATCTGGAGACGTTCACATAAAATAGAGTATGGATAAAACATACAAGGGAAAACTTTCTATTTTCCCAGAGTAGGAGAGGGGATCAGTGTTCAAATCCCAGCTCAGTCACCAGTCCCTCAGGTGGTTTTTTAGGGTGTGAGGGGGCACCCCAGACAGTGAACAGGCCCGGTTCACCAGGTAGGTGACTCCTTACAGGCTCTTTTTGGCATTTAGATTCCACGATGCCGGGAAAACGCAGAGTGCAGGTCCTGGTCCCAGAAGAAGTGTCTTCTGAGATGAAAAAGGTTAAAGGTTAGTAAAATCCCTTAAAATTTTCCTTCCACTTTTCCAGGGATGATTTTCACCAGGAAACTTGTACTCCTACATGTTCTTTCTCCCCTTCCCTCCCCGCAGTCAGCCACCCATCACATCGCTCACAGCCTGGGATGGTGCTGACGCTGGGCCAGGGTGACGTTGGCTCTTTTTGGCATATAGATTCCAAGACGCCAGCAAAACGCAGAATGAAGATCCTGGTGCCAGAAGAAGAATCTACTGAGACAAAAAAGGTTAAAGGTAAGAAAAATCCCTTGGAATTTTCCTTCCACTTTCCCAGGGGTGATTTTTACCAGGAAACTTGTACCCTGACATGTTCTTTCTCCCCCTCACACCCCGCAGTCAGCCACCCATCACATCGCTCACAGCCTGGGCTGGTGCTGACACTGGGCCAGGGTAATGTTGGGCAGCTGGGTCTGGGTGAAGACATCATGGAGAGGAAGAAGCCAGCTCTGGTCACACTGCCAGAGATGGTGGTGCAGGTGGAAGCTGGAGGGATGCACACGGTGTGCCTCAGCCAGACTGGAAAGGTAAGTGCAGTGGGTTCTGGGATGTGTTCTGGAGCAGGGGGTAGGAATCAGCCACTGCTCTGCCCACATCTTGTTCCAGCTCTAGGGGTGAGCATGGTCTCGTGGACCACAAAATTTAGGGGCTCAAAAGGAGGACCTGAAAGGGGCCTACGGGAGAATTGGAGAGGGACTTAGGATAAGGGCATAGAGTGATAGGTCAAGGGCAAATGGCTTTACACTGACAGAGAGCCGATGGGTGACACTGCCATTTTAGATGCGATATTGGGAAGTTCTTCCCTGTGAAGGTGGTGAGGCTCTGGTACAGAGAAGCTGTGGCTGCCTCATTGTGGGGGGACAGAATGTGAGAAAATAAAGATAGTGCAGAAGGTAATCTCACCCTTGAGGAGTTGCAGCTGTGCTAATTACCAAAGATTAGGAACAGGCCACAGCCGTGTCCAATACGGATGAGTCCTATAAGAGTGGGTTAGCTGGATGAGGAGAGACTTGGAGTTTGTTGGCTGTGCTATGAGGAAGAAGGAGTCAGTGCTGCAAGGAGCTTCCCTTGAGAAATCACTGTGAAGATATGAGAGCTTCGTAGTAAGATGACAGCACCTCATCCCTGGAAGTATTCCAGGCCAGATTGGACAGGATTTAAAGCAACCTGATCTAGCAGAAGGTATTCTTGCCCATGGCAGGGGGTGGACTGAAGTGAGCTTTAAGTTTCCTTCCATCCCAGACCATTCCGTGATTCTGTAATAATTCAGCTTCGTGACTCTCTGTCCCCTGACTTCATACTCAGCCCCTCTGTGCTCCATCCTGATCATTTGCACCCAATCTGCAGATCTACACCTTTGGCTGCAATGATGAAGGTGCCCTGGGACGCGACACCTCGGCTGAAGGGTCCGAGAGCTCTCCAGGGTTGGTGGAGCTGCAGGAGAAGGTGGTGCAGGTGTCGGCGGGGGACAGCCACACGGCCGCGCTGACTGAGGATGGCAGGGTCTTTGTCTGGGGCTCCTTCCGGGTACGCTGAGTCCTCAGATACTGGAAGCTCCACTGGTGGCTGCTGCTCCTGTGGCTGATCCCTGTGTCTCTCTTCCCTCAGGATAACAATGGAGTGATTGGCTTGCTGGAGCCCATGAAGACAAGCTCCAGTCCTGTGCTGCTCCAGCTCAATACCCCTGTTGTTAAAATAGTTTCAGGTGAGTAGGTGTCATTGTTGAGATGGTCCTAACAAACAGAAGAACACCGTGTATTTAAGAAAGCTTCTCTTTTTTATTTTAGCAGCATGCTGTCTTTATATGCTCTCACAAAGTTTATACCTATTCATTGGGCACAATAAATTAACATAATGTTCATTGGTGCAATGCGGTCAACACCACTGTTTTCTGTCAAGATCTAGCTGCAGGACCCCTTGTTTATCTTTTCTTCTCCTTTTCCACGCTGACAGCATCAGTAGGACTCCTTTCAGGGGCAAAGGCGACTCTTATCAGCTTCTCTTCTTCATCTAACTCTTTCTGACTCACAGACCAGCTGTGAGCCCCTTCCACAAGCAGGGCTCTGGGGCGTGCAGGGTCAGGCAGGTACACAAGGTTGTCACAACCCTTGAGGAACGTCCATGAACTTTTCCTCCCTATTGGCTTGTTCCAAGGCTGATACAAGGGTGTACTTGCTGATCTCTGACTCTTTCAGAGAACAAACCTCTTAGCCCCAACAGATTCACATGTTGATTTAATATTTGACCAGTCTGATGTAGAATGCCTTCCAAGAGTGGCCTGAACTGTGACCCAGTGGGGCCAGAACACTTACTCTCTAATGAGGCCTGGGGAAGCTGAGCACAGCAGCCAGGGTGCTTGTCCGGGGCCCAGGGGAGGCTGGGGCACACCTGTGTCCTTACTGCCTTCCCAGAAAAACTGCTTTGAATTCCTGGGATTGGGAAGATGGAGATCCTGGAGTTTTAGGTGATGGCACAATTGGTGTTGAGGTATCAAGTGCAGTAAGCCCCATAAGCTGGAACAACTGGGGTTTACCTGTGGGATCTCAGTCCTGAGGACTTGTTGAAGACTTCTCCATAACTTCTTTTTCCTTCCTGTCCCAGGAAATGACCACTTGGTGATGCTGACAGTGGATGGCGACCTGTTCACGTGTGGCTGTGGTGAACAGGGCCAGCTGGGCAGAGTGCCAGCACTCTTTGCCACCCGAGGAGGACGGCGAGGACTGGGTGAGTGGATTTAGTTCTCAGAGGTGCATCCTTTGGCTTTGGCTCTGCCCTTTGCAGAGGAACAAAGGGCCCCAGTCCCTGATGCTCAAGGGCTTATGTGTAATCAGTGACGTACGTGCAGTGAGCCAGATCCTTAGGTGCAGCGAGGGTGCAAATCCTTAGTCCTTGCATAACGCTTTGTCTCCTACCCCAGAACGGATGCTGGTCCCCCAGCTTGTCCCTGTCAGAGGCAGAGGGAGAAGAAGCAAAATGCGCTTCCAGGATGCTTTCTGCGGGGCGTATTTCACCTTCGCCGTCACGCGTGAGGGACACATCTATGGATTTGGCCTCTCCAACTACCACCAGCTGGGTGAGCTATGTCCCTCCAGATCTCCTTCCAGTCCACTGCTGCCCTGGCCTGGTGGGAGAAGCTGCTGGGTGCCCCAGAATCTAAACACTGGATGCACCAGAGCTGGAAATGGGTGCGGGGCTTGCTCTGGATTTAGGTCCCAGCCCTCATGCCCCATGGGTTTGAGCAGAAATTAGATTTTGGGCCTGGGCAGCTGTATTGGTCCCTGGTAGGGTGAGCCCCAGGGTGGATGGCTTAGTGCCAGAGCTGTCCATGCCCATGGACCTGATCCGCCCGGGTTTGTGCGTCCCACCCTGCAGGGACCCAGGACACCGAGCCCTGCTTCTCCCCGCAGAACCTCACGTCCTTCAAGAACTCCACCAAGTCTTGGGTTGGGTTCTCTGGTGGGCAGCACCACACGGTCTGCGTCGACTCTGAGGGTGAGTGACTCTGTGACAGGTGGGCTGGGAGTCACACAGCAGGGTGGGGGGAATCCCATGGCCCTCAACCTGGCCAAGGAGCTGTTGGGATGAGGGTGATGTGCTGGAGCCCTCCAAGCTCTCAGTGTTCAAGGAAACAATGTTGGTGTGACATTGCAGCAAAGAGAAGCTGACAACAACAGAGACCTGGACTCAGCTGGGAGCTATGCTCTTGCACCTCTCCAGCTTACTGATTTTGGGGAGCTGAAGGGTCTCTATCCCACCCTGCCCCTTCTGGATGGGTCTCAGGGTGTGGTGTGGAGGAGCGATGCTCCTGCAGGAGTCAGGCTTGGGAAGAGGTCCTGGTCTGCTTTGGCCTTGCTGCAACTTCTGCCCAGCTCAGGTCTCCTGTCTTGTGTGTCCCCTGTGCTCCAGGTAAAGCCTACAGCCTGGGCAGGGCAGAGTATGGCCGACTGGGCCTTGGGACAGGGGCAGAGGAGAAGAGTGCACCCACCATTATCCCGGAGCTCCCCAGTATCGTCTCGGTGGCCTGTGGAGCGTCAGTTGGTTATGCTGTCAGCAGTGATGGTGAGTGCCAGGGCTTGGGAACCCTGCCTTCTGCACTTCCTTCGTTCCTCCATCCAGCCCTGCACACCGTCACCACACACTGCCAGCTGGGTTGGGTCTGGAGCCGGGTCCTGCTGCCCATCTCCTGGGGGCAGCTGCGCAGTGGCTGCTCAGATGTGTTTGTGGGCAGCAGGGTTGGTCATGCGGTGTTTACCGGGAGGGGGTTGTTGGCCTGACAGTCTCTGCTCTGACTCTGCCGATGCCAGACCTCCGTGCTCTGGTGGCGCATCTGCCTGTGCGCAGTGTCCGCAGGAAGGAAGGTTTGGAGTGGGCTGTGGGTTTATTTTTCTCCCGCAAAGGGATGAAAGTTCTTTGGCCCTGTGATGGAACACCTGTTGAGTTGCAAGTGCTCGTTCTCTTCCTCCCGCTTGTGTTTTGGACTCGTAGAGATGCACTGTCTGGGTGCAACGTCACCTTCCCATTTTGCAACAACCGGGAGCTCAAAGCTTGCTTCACCTCTGTTGCAGGACGAGTGTTTGCGTGGGGAATGGGCACTAACTACCAGCTGGGCACCGGAGAGGAGGATGATGTCTGGAGCCCCGTGGAGATGACGGGGAAGCAGCTGGAGAACCGGCGGGTGCTGGCTGTGTCCAGCGGCGGGCAGCACACGGTGCTGCTGGTCAGTGACAAGGAGCAGAGCTGATGAAGCGACACCGCAGCCGGACCCAGCGGAATCACAGCACCCCCAGACCCCCCACAACTTCTGCCTGGGTTGGGGAGGGCAGGTGGCTCATGGAGCTCGGCCCAGCAGCGCCTGTGTGGCTGGAACAGGGTGCCCGTGGGTTCTCTCTGCAAGCATTTGTCTGTTTTCCTGTGGTGCCCAGTGCTCTGTCAGCTCCCCGGGTCAGCTTGGTCCTAAACTGATCCCAGTTCTTTGCCTGGATGGATTTCCACTTCTTGTCTTTTTTTTTTTTTTAACATTTCCTGGCCCAGCAAAGCTGAGGGTTTTGTTCTTTACTCTGCAATCAGGTTTGGGTAATAGTCTCCCTGAGGTCCCCATGTTCCCCACATCTGGATGCTCCTCCACCCCCTTCACCTAAACCACCTCTGGATTTGTCTGCTGCCACCCCCCAAACCCCTCTGAGCGTGTTCCAGGTGGATCTGAGTCCAGCAGGAATGTGCCCAGGAAGCTCTATCCTCTAATCCAGAGCTTGTGACTGCTGTGGGGAGATTCTGCCTGGTGAGGGAGAATGCTGCTGGATGATGCCTAGCACGGTGTGACCGCTGGAGGCTCCTGCCTCCCATCCCCTCAAGCTGAGCCCCTGCCTGGCAGTCGGGCCAGGAGCAGATTCCCCACTCCCCATGGCCTGGAGCAGCCGCCTCATGCTACTTTTCACAGTCCTGGCCACTCCCTCTTTGCCATTGCCTTTGGAAACCCAACCAAATCCATCCCACAGATGGGAACACTGTTACTTTAATTTTTTCTCTTTCACTTGCTGAGGAAGGAGGTTCATTTGCTGTTAGGGCCTGGATGAGCAGACACCCAGACCACAGCTATGCATGGAGTTGCTGGAAACAACAGCATTCCTCCTCCCCGTTGCCTCCCTGATCCAACTGGTCTTGATTCCTGTGCCCAGCCTGCTCCATCCTCTCCTTATAGGAGGTACCTTCCAGGTGCCTGGAGTGAGGAGGGCTCTGCAAAAAGTTAATTGTAGCAATAGGAGGGGGGGTTGTGGCTGGGGAGGGGTGTCTGGGGTTATACAATGGTTCCAAAAGGGTTGGATTTTTTTAAAAAAGAAAATGTATTTTGGTTGATTAATCAAGGCAGAAAGGACAAAAAAAAATCTTTTAAATTTGGAATAAACTGAGTTTTGATAAACCCAGGCTTTTCCTGCGCCTTGGAGGGCTGGGCAGTTCTCCCGTGGGGACAGTCGGGACAGGTGTCTCCTTTCGGGGCGCTGTCCCGGTCCCAGCTGTGGCCGCCAGGTGGCAGCCGTGGGGCTGAGAGAGGGCATGGTCCCTGTCGTCTCGGTCACCCCCCTTCAGTGCCCAGCCTGGCTGACGGGTCACCCCACGGATCTGTGGGTCTCCAGGAACACAGCCAAGCCCGTTGCACACCTGGAAGGATCCTGGCTTGTCCGTGCAGGGTGCTCCCAGCTGGAGCTGAGCCAGATGTGTGTGGAGACTGGAAGCCACGGGGCAAATTCCCACATCCTGGTGTGACTGGAGCCCCAGGTCGCTGTTTACACTTAATTCATTTGCGCAGGAGCAGGTTCCTTAGTGAGCCTGGGCACTGAGAGAAGCTCTGCTGCTTCCATGTGGGATGAACTTGGATTTACAATCAGGGATGGCCTCAGTGGGTCCAGCTCTGGGGTGCTGGGGGCACCCGCATCCCATCAGGTGGGTTTGTTCTGGTGGTTGCAGTCCTGGGCTTGCAAAGGACTTTATTTTTACCTCTAAGCAAAAGATTGAGATGTGGGCCCACAGGGAATGTTGTATTGTGAGGGATCAAGCCCATATTTTGCTGTCACTGCAGGCTGAGCCATGGGCAAGTGCTCTCTAATCCTGTGGCTAATTTTGCTCCCTGGGGACCATCACCATTTGATACCAATCAGTGAAATGTGACCTGCTGGATACCTGATGCAGGAACTGCTCTTCGCTTAGGCTTGATTCCCAGCAACAATATTTATCCAAAGCCAGCCTCAGCTACTGGGGAGATCCCACATCCCAGTGCTCCCAGTTCCTCCCTGTCCCCTACCTTGGCAGGTTTTTGCATCTATCTCCCACATTTGGGCAGCAGGAACAGCATCAGTGGTGTGGACACAACAGGGTTGGATCCTGCCGGGAGCCAATGCAATTCCCTGCTCCAGCTCCTGTGGGTGCAGAGAAAACCCAGATCATTACTAAATAAGATGGGATTGTACCCATCCCTGAGGGGCTGTTCCTGTTTCTGGGAAGGGGAAAACATGTCTTTGTGAATGGGAAGCTTGTTGGTATATTTAAGAAACATGGGAAAAGGACTGGGAGAGAACAATAAGATTTAAAATATTCAGAACTGATGAGTAAGCAATTGTCTTGGGAACCAGTGACACTTCAGTGGGAAGCTGCTGGAAACTGGGGGAAGGATGAGCCCCCACACAGGGGGGAGAGGGTGGATGGAGGAAAACAGCTTAATTGAGGGAAGGGAAATGTCTCATTAACAAGGTTTTGTGCTCACAGAGTGAACCGGGGGCATTTTGAGGATTAGGAGGAGGAATTTGGGTCCTGTGGAGTGGACCCCTGGCTGTGTCAGGATCCAGCCATAGTCAATGGGGGAGGTTTTCTAGCACTGACACCTCCAGACTCTCCCTCATCACCAGCTGGCAGCTCCACACTCTGGTCTGCATCTGTTGCTATTGGAAGTGCATAAAAGGCTTTTGCTTTACAGACAAAAGCTGGGAAAGTGGTATTTGAGGGCTTCAGCATCCCTGGAGGATGAGGCCTGGCAGTGTGAAGATCTTTTGGGCCCAGATTAAAAGCACTTTGAGTGTTGTTTGTGAGGGATTTTTTCATGTTTTTTTAACATGTTGCTGTTTTAGATAGAAAATTTCTGCCTGTGCAGTGGTGCTGCTGGATCTACAGGGAGAGAATTGCATCTTCAGGAGGGTTTGGAGGATATTCAGATTGTTTTCTTGTTATTCCTTTCCTGCCTGGAAGAGGAAATGAGCTTTAATTATGGCCAAGCTGCCTGTGATGGGGTTTAATGACGGTTTAGTCATTGTACTGGGCTGTCTCTCCAATCATTGAGGCTGTTGCCTGACCAGTATATTCCAGGATAACTGCCATGTGCAGTGCTCTGGTGTGGCTCCTGGTAGAAGGGTGTCTTGGGTCTCTTTAGGATGAGAATTGGGCTGAAATAGTGATGTGGTGGTGTCTCTGTCCCCTTCCCAAACTGCTGACATCCTGGTTCCTTTCCCATTACAACAGGCCAAAAATAAGGAAAGTCTCGTATGGCTCACTCAGCTCCTGGGAGCTGGGGAGGGGGATCCTGGCTCTTTCCCTGCCTGGAGGAGCTCCAGGGCTTACACAGCGTCCCAGACATCCCCTCCCTGCATGTTCCTCCTGGTCCCATTTGCTCAGGGAATAAAACAGCACAAATTAAGCAGAATTTTTAACTCTGAAAGGAGAAAAAAAATCCTCTAGGAATTATTCATAGTGATTTTCTTTCCCTATTAAATGATGAATTGCAAGACAAGCATCTCTGTTGAGCTGAGAGCCTGGGTCCACCCCAGGCTGCTGCAGGGTCAGGGAGGTGGGAGTTCTTGTTCCTGTCCTCCCCAGGAAAGCCAGATCCCTTCATTTCCATCTGCATATTAATGCAATTCCAAAGTCAGCCTAAACATGCAGACAAAGAAATTGTCATCATCATAATTAATCACAAGCTCAATACATCAGGGTTCATTATTTGGTGAATTAATTAAAGAAAAAAAATTGGGGAAAGGATGTTTCCTGCAATAGCACATGTTTTTGGCCTGCAAATGTCCCTGGAAATAGCCTGTTGGTGTGTGCCAGCATGGGTTGCTGTATAATTAACCTGGGCTGGCTGCTAGTTTAACCGGGCTGTGAAATCTCCAGAATTGGTGTCTGGCTCAGCTTTCCCAGGGTGCTGGGTAACGGACGGGGTCCTCGAGTGGTTTTCACATCCACTCTGCACTCTTTATGGTTCTCCTTCTTTGGGAACTAAGAAACCTACACTGCAGAAGTGATCAGTACCCTAAAGTCCAAAGTCTCGTTAAGCCAGAGCAAAGTTACAGGCTCCAACACCCGTTTCTGTTGCTTTTCCGCTGAATCCTCATTTGTATTTAAATTACAAATGTAATTTGGGCCAGAATTTGGGCTGCTTGTCTTTTGAAATAAAATTATATCTTGATGACTGTTGGCAGAAGAGGTTTTTGGTGACTAGGGCTTGCAAACAATCTCAGCTCTAAAGGGCTTGGGGTGTTCACAAAGGTGAGTTTTTCTAAGTCCAGGTATGTATTCAAAACTTGAATTCAGAATCATCAAATGGCCTGAGTTGGAAGGGACCTTAAAGCCCATCCAGTTTCCTGCCCTGACATGTGCAGGGACACCTTCAGCTGTCCCAGGCTGCTCTGAGCCTCATCCAGCCTGGCCTTGGACACTGCTTCCCTGAGCAACCTGTGCCAGGTTATCCCCACTCTCACAGGAAAGGGTAAATTTAGAGGCAGTTTCATCACTCCCCAGACCACCCCCCTGAGCTCATTTTTGATGCCTGTGAGTCACAAGAGAGCTGGAAACTGCTTCCTATCTTCGATTTTATTTTACTTGAACTTTTAGAAAGCAGGGTTCCTGTACAGAAATGCCACAGTAATGCAAATATCCCAAGGGTTGGAGCTGGAGATAGTGTCTGAAGTACTTTGTGAGATGCTAGGGATCCGGCATATTCAGCTCCACCACACACGTAGCAGCTGCTGTGGTGGGAGGTGTGATGGGAGGCCTTGGGGTCACTTTAGTTTCATACAGCTATAGACAGACATACATATATATTTATAAAAGTACACAAAGAGTTCCCTCCGAGCCCGCTGGCTAAAGCACGGCCCAGTCAGGGCAGGCTCTCCCAGTGCTGCTCGCTTGCAGTAGGATTTGCCCACAGTTTTCCAGCCCAGCATCACATCCATGTCCAGGGCCGCCTTAGCTGCAGTCAGAGGTCTCTAAATAACACTAACCTAACAATGACATGAACAGTAGAAAGCTTTCACTGGGAACAATCCCAGTTT